TGTTGATCATATACTACCACTGTCTTGTGCCTTCCATTTTTTATTTTGAGAAGTCATCTGTCTGTCTCTTCTTTGCAGATACTCTGTATTTTTCCTGTAGTTGTTTTAAGGTCTTTTATAAAAATTTGTCTGTATGTAGAGTTTCTTTTGTCTTCCATACACCTTTTTTTCTTGACTATTACAAAAGTTTAACAAAAAGTTTAAAATGGAAATGTATATCATTCACTTTTTTTTTTGGTCCTCATGGTATGACTCTAGTTTTTTGTTTTGTTTTGTTTTGTTTTTTTTTGAGATGGAGTTTCATTCCTGTTGCCCAGGCTGGAGTGCAGTGGCGTGTTCTCAGCTCACTGCAACTTCTGCCTCCTGGGTTCAAGCAATTCTGTCTCAGCCTCCTGCGTAGCTGGGATTACAGGTACCCACCACCACACATGGCTAATTTTTGTATTTTTAGTACAGATGGTGTTTCACCATGTTGGCCAGGCTGGTCTCCAACTCCTGACGTCAGGTAATCCACCCACCTTGGCCTCTCAAAGGTCTGGGATAATAGGAATGAGCCACTGTACCTGGCCACAAGAGGATGTGGATTTCTCTACTGATCAGCCATTATTTGTACTTACTCCAAGGCATCTAATATGTTGATACTATTTCCTCATATTACCTCCATTCCAATGTTGTTCTCCTGCCCACTAGTTGGATTTTTGTACCTAATTCTTTCTTCAGCCTTTTCTCCCCTGCATGGTTTCTAGCTTGTCTCTTAATGTGATGGAAGCATAGTTTGTCTCAGAGAGATGCTCATCAACTCATTGCATTTCTCTTTGGAGTGGCCTACATGTTGCTGCATATTCTGGCATACAGCTTCTGGAAGCCATTGGTTCACTGGAGCAGAAGGTCTTTGGCAAGTGATTTGTTTTATTTCCCACAGGTTGCTAGGTAAGTATTCACATATGTCCTGAAACATTGGACCATTTCACCAGGAAAAAAAGATGTGAACTGACTCTTCAGTGATTACAGTTTGGTCCTATTTCTTGTTTATGTAGCAGAAGTTTCTCTGTTTTTGACATAAGGATGGAAACTATTTTTC